GGCGAGATTTTGCCAAGCCAGACACTTAGGGTCCGAGGCAAATGAATTACTCCCCAGCAATGAGCTGGAGGGAGGTTGTGTCGAGCCGGACATTTAGGGTCCGAGGCAAGATTTTGCCGAGCCGGACACTTAGGGTCCGAGGCGAATGAATTACTCCCCGGCGATGAGCCAGAGGGAGGTTGTGCGGAGCCGAACACTTAAGGTCCGAGGTGAATGAATTACTCCCCGGCGATGAGCCAGAGGGAGGTTGTGCCGAGCCAAATACTTAGGGTCCGAGGCGAGATTTTGCCAAGCCAGACACTTAGGGTCTGAGGCGAATGAATTACTCCCCAGCGCTGAGCCGGAGGGAGGTTTTCATACATATATTCTTCTCTTCATCAATTTTTTTTTTTTTTTTTTTTGAAAATAACTTACCGAGGACTCAAAAATGATAGGAGGCCAAGAAAGCGAGTAACAATGGCTGGGAAGTTTCCTATTTGTTTACTTTGGAAACTTTCCTCCATTGATACTCCCTTCTTGGCAACCATATGTAATGGACTAGGCATATATTAACCATATTTCCTTTCTATTTTTATCTGATGTGGGACAAAAAGTTTCAACCATAAGTCAAAACGCATGCTTTTTAATAACTTGCTTCCAACATTGCTTTGCATAAAAGCATAAAATTGCATAATCATAGTGTAGTATGAGAATTTCTTTGCATAAAATTTGACAATTCCAAATTTCTTTCTTTGCATAAAAATTTTCAAAATTTTTTCTGTGCATAAAAATTGCTTTCTTTGCATAAAAATTGCTAATACATACTGCGATGCAAAATTGCATAATCATAGAATGATGGTATGGCCCCCATTTTTATGGAAAGAAACAAATAGAAGCAAAATAAAGTAAAGCATGGCTGACTGTGGGCTTATGCAGCCTTATTTGTGAAGAATTCTTAATAAAATTGACAAACTTAACTAATGAAAATACCGTTTAAGGTGTATTGCATTCTAAGGATGCGCAATGGGACGTCCGTCAGCTTCGGCCAAATAATATGCTCCCTTCCCCACTACTTCGGTAATCCTATAGGGTCCGGTCCAATTAGGTTCCAGTTTCTTTACATGAGCTGTCTCTTGCTTCAGAACCCAATCGCCTACCACAAAGCTCCAGAATCTGACACGTTTGTTATAATTGTTGCGCAGCTGCTGCTGATATGAAGCAAGCCTAATTGCTGCAGCATCCCTTTTTTCATCGAGGAGGTCGAGACTATGTTCGAGCTACTGACTATTCTTTCCTTCAAGCAACAAGGATGTCCGAAGGGTTGGAATCGCCGCTTCGGTTGGAATCACTACTTCGGATCCATAAGCCATGGCAAAGGGACTCTCCCCCGTGGGCCACCGTGGTGTGGTTCGGTACGCCCAAAGCACCTGAGGGAGATTCTCGTACCATTTCGTTTTGAGTTTCTCCAATTTCTTCTTTAAACAACTGAAAATGGTCCGATTAGTTATTTCAACCTGTCCATTCCCTTGTGGATGACTAATTGCAGCTAACTTTTGTATAATTCCATGCTCAGTGAAGAATTTCCTTATACTTCTATTGTCGAGGTTCTTACCATTGTCCATCATAATGACTTTTGGGACCCCAAACAGGCTATTGATGTTGTTCCAAAGGAAAGTTTTTACCTGCTCATGGGTCACACTTGAGTAGGCCTCGGCTTCTACCCATTTAGTGAAATAATCTGTAGCCAGTAGCACGTACTCCTTTTGTTCCACAGTCTTGGGTAACGGGCCCACCATATCAATCCTCCATTTTGCGAATGGCCATGGATTTGCCATTGCATGCAAATCCTCGGCAGGTTGATGCTTCATGGGACCATGACGTTGACATTTGTCACACCTCCGAGTATACTCTTTTGCATTTCGGGCCAAGTACGACCAGAAGTAACCTTGAGTCAGGACTTTATGCACAAGAGATCTACCCCTAGAATGGTTGCCACAATCTCCATCATGGATTTGTTTCAACACCACAAGAGCCTCAGTAGGGCTTAAACATTTCAGGTAAGGACCTGAAAATGACTTTCGGTATAACTGATTGTTAATGATGGCATATTTAGCTGCAGTGAGACAGAGCTTCTGTGCTTCGGACTTCTGGTTTGGAAGAACTCAATGCTTGAGGTAGGCTTCCAATGGATCAATCCAGCATGGTTCTCGAGGAATAACTAGAATCACCATTACTTCCTGCGGATGATTAATGCTGGGCTCGTCCAGGACGTCAATCGGCACAATCTGAGTCAGATCTTCATTTGAGGATGACACTGATGTGGCCAATTGATCTGCTTCGGCATTCTCAACACGAGGTACCTAATAGAATTCGATCTGATCGAATCCCCGTGCAACATTCTCTACAGCTTCTTTATATGCTTTCATTCTTTCCTCTTTGGGATGGTACTGACCTGTCACTTAATTTATAACAAGCTGTGAGTCACTAAAAACCTTTAAGCAACGTACCTGGAGGCTACTAGCCAATCGAAGACCAACAAGTAACGCCTCGTACTAGGCCTTATTGTTCGTAGCCGGGAACTTCAAACAGATAGATTGCTGCAGCTTGGTGCCTTCGGGTGTTGACATTACAATGCCTACCCCAGCACTTGCTTGATTTCGAGGAGCCATCAACTCAAAGTTCCCACTGTGGTTCAGGGTGTACCGGCTCTTCGGGACTGTCTTCATATTCGAGAAGAAAGTCTGCTACGGCTTGTCCTTTGTGCGACACCTTTGGCTCATAAGTTATGTCGAAGGAACTAAGCTCGATAGCCCACTTGGTAATTCTCCCAGATAGATCGGGCTTAGAGAGTATACCCCGTATAGGATAGTTGGTGAGTACCACAATGCTGTGAGATTCAAAATAATGCCGAAGCTTCCTCTTGGCATAGATCAAGGCTAAGATGACTTTTTCTGCTTTACTATATCGTGTCTCTGCATCTGTCATGGTCTTACTTGTGTAGAAGACTGGATATTGCCTCTTTCCTTCCTTTCTAATCAATGCTGCACTTGTCGCTACATTAGAAATTGCCAAATACATAATAAGAACCTCCCCGGGTTTTGGAGCGGATAGAATTGGTGGTTCGGCCATGTAACCTTTCAACCGACTGAGGGCCTCCTGCTGTTGAGGTCCCCATATATCTTTATTCTTAGATCGTATAGCATCAAAGAATGGTTTGCACTTATCTGACAATCGGGATATAAACCGGCTAAGGGCTGCAATCCGACCGGTAAGAACCTGCACCTCCCTGCGATTTTTTTGTTCCTGATTCTGGATGAGGGCCTTAGCCTGAGCCGGACTTACCTCTATCCCCCTTTTATTCACTATGTGGCCAAGGAATTGACCTGATGATACCGCGAAGGAGCACTTGGATGGATTTAGCTTCATATTGTACTTCTTCAAGGTATTGAAAACTTCCTGTAGATGCTTCGGATGATCCTCTTTCTTCACACTTTGAACCACCATGTCATCTATATATGCTTCAATTATCTTTCCCAACAGATTATCGAATATCTTGTTGACAAGGCGTTGATAAGTAGCTCCAGCATTTTCAGTCCAAAGGGCATGACCCTGTAACAATAAGTCCCCTTTTCTGTAATGAAAGCCGTTTTTTCTTCATCTTCGGGGTTCATAGGAATTTGATTGTATCCCGAGTATGCATCTAGGAATGTTAGCCTCTCGTAACCGGTGGTAGCATCAACCATCTGATCTATCTTAGGCAGAGGGAAGCTATCTTTAGGGCAGGCTTTGTTAAGGTTGGTATAGTCTACACAAACCCTCCACTTTCCATTCTTCTTTTGTGCGACTACCACGTTTGACAGCCACTGTGGATATTGCACTTCTCGAATGAAACCTGCTTGCAACAATTTGCTCACTTCTTCAGCTATAATGTGATTATGTTCGGGGGTAAACCTTCGATGTTTCTGCTTAACCGGTTTGAACTCCGGATCCACCTTCAGACTATGGCAGGAAACTAAGGGATCGATCCCTACCATGTCCGAGTGATCTCACGCAAAGGCATCTGCATTGCTCCAGATAACATCAATTAACGCCTCCTTTTCTTCAAAAGCGGAGGAAGAGCCTAGATAGGTAACCTTCTGAGGGTCACCGAGGAAAACTTCCATGGCTTCAAGGGTCTCCTCGGTGGGCTTTGCAATTTCCTCTTCCTCCTCTACCTTAAGATACTTGGGCAGAAGGCTTTGTAATTGCTATTTGGGTCCACTTTTGGAAGCCACACCTAGTTGTTGTTGAGTCGACACCCTCTTTGCTTCAGCTTATGTCAACATATAGCATTCCTTCGCTGCAACTTGATCGCCCCACAGATTAATTACTTCTTTCCCGTTCGGAGATAAGCACCGCATCACCTGGTGAAGGGTGGACGGAACTCCTCTCATCCAATGTATCCAGCCTCTTCCCATGATGAGATTGTAAGAAGGATGGATCTCTGTTAAAACAAAGTTCTCCTTCAAAGTCCTCTTCGCCGCTGTTACAGACAAGTCTATTACTCCAAGGGGATCTACTCTTGTACCATCGAACCCCATCAACGGGCTAGAGGTAGGTCGAATAGATGATGACGGGATCTCTAGCTGCTCAAAAACCGTCTTTGTGATTATGTTGGTGCTACTTCCTGGATCTATCAAAACCCTCCAGATCATACAATTGGCCACTAAAAGACTGATGACCAATGGATCCTAGTGGGGGAGTTGAACTCTGGATAGGTCGCCATCTCCAAATCCAATACTGATGCTACCCGAAGTGATAGCATTGATCGAGGATATCCTCCTTAGCTTGTAGGCTGCCCTCGGTCTGGATCTGTATACCTCCTCAGACTCTTGATCATCTTCAGACCTGCCATGTATTGCATGGATGACTTTTACTTGCGTACCTTCCACCTTGCGGGGATAGACCTCGCGGGGCTTTGCATACTCCTTTGTCATGAGGTAATCCGTCAACTCACCTCTGGCGATCATATTCTCCACCTGTCACCTGAGGGATCTACAATCATTGGTTGAATGCCCATAATCTCGATGATAAGCGCAATGCTTGCTTTTGTCCCTTTGCTCCAGGGGTTGCTTTATTGGCTGCGGAGTTATGAACTTCATCTTATTCTCTTGGAAGAGCCGAGCCAAGGTAGTTCGGAGAGGTGTAAATCCTTCCTCTACCCTTTGCCTTTTTTCAGGTGCCTGGGTGATCGGCATTGAGGAACGTTGGCTTTTTTGAATCTTTAGAATTGGAACTCTTTCTCGAGGCTTGTTTTCCACTGTCACGAGGGTGGCGTGCTGCACTCGGTGGGCTAAATTTTCCTCAAGCCGAATGTAGATTTGGGCCCTAGCATTGAAAGTCTGCATGTTGGGAGGAGAATACTTGACTAAAGAAGTGTAGAACTTCGTCCCCTGAATCATCGCGAGTTTAAATGTCTCTATAGCAGTTACGGGATGACAATCCACTATTTCTGAGGCTTCCATGTTGAATCTTGATAAGAAATCCTGCAATGTTTCTCCCCTTTTTTGCCTTACGGTGAAGAGGCTGGCAATGCTCTTCTTTTGCTTCTTATATCCGCAATACTGTGCCAGGAACATGGTGCATAGAGTCACGTAATCCGGGATGGATTTATGCGGTCTATTCCTGAACCACTCTAGTGCTGCTCCTATCAAACTGGTAGGAAAAACTCTGCACATCCAAGGGTCATTACAATCATCCAAAGCCATCTTTTGAGTGTAATGATCTAGGTGCCGAGAAGGATCCCCTGTTCCATCAAACTTGGGTGAAAGAAGGCATGGTAAATTTCTTAGGCCTCTCAGCCAGATACACATCGTCAGTGAGAGGAGTTTTGACCAAGGAATTTTTATGTTCTCTAGCCATCTCGGCAGGTGTCTGAATCTTCAGGAGTCTCTTCTCGTCAAAGGCATCCTGAACACCTGCACCATCTGGGATTCCATTGGACGTTATCTGAAGCTGCAGCCTGTGTTCGACTTGCTCATCCTGTGTGCGACGAGGGACGTTATCTGAAGCCGCAGCCTCAGATCTTGCCCTCCGTTGTTGCTGAACCTCATTCGGCTGAGCCTCATTGGGTCATGCCCCATTAGGTGGATCCCCATCAAGCAGAAGTCCAGTAATCGGAGGAATATTCTGACTAGGGGTTGCTGCTGTGTCACCCCCTGGTGGCGGTGGTGCCAACTGAGCCAGCGCCGTTTGCAGAGTGTTATTCTGCTATTGAAGCAAGGCGATCTGAGCCATACTTGCTTCATTTGCCTGACGAAGTAGGTCAAACTAGTGTAGAAACTCTTCACGCATCTTCTGCATCAACTCCGTTTGTTGATCCGTTGAAGATCCTCCGTTCGACATTCTGGATGGTAGCTGCAGGATTCACTTATGAAACAAAAAACAAGAGTGGGAATATATTTGCACACGTTTCCCACAGACGGCGCCAAAGTGTAAGTGCAAAATTTCGCCCAACCAATAGTGACTGGGAGAAATAACACAACTCACTCAATAAACAATAAAAATAAACAAGACCAGTATATAGAGAAGCATAGAATTGCTTGATTATTTTATTGGAGGTCTGGGCCTCTATTTATACACAAAAGATTGGTTGAATTGTGGTAGGACTCGCATTGCTTATCCTCCAATTCTTTCCCTACAGAAATTCTTTACAAATAGAGCTCCTTCCTTTGTATAATTTTCCTTGTAGAGTAGTTTCTTTCTTTGTTGTATCCTTCTTCTAATAGGACTAATTTCCTTTCAATGGATTTGGGCTATAAGTAACCTAATCCATGTGACACTGCTAACGGCTTAGATCTCTTGTTTCGGGCTTGAGCAATGCTACAGAGATCAATTATCTGCGACCTTGGGTTAGTGTCTTATAATTCTGGACTGTCAACGAGCTTGGACTGGGCTTTGAGCAGGATGGGCCTCTGTTATTTGTGATGGGTATTTACATTGCGATGACGTTTACAGTTCCCATTGGAGGGAGATTTTTCCCTCCACATGTAGTTAGTTTTAAAATTTTAACAAAAAACAAAAAATGTTAAAGTTCTCTTGTATTTTGACTTTGGTTTAGAATCATGCTAGTAATCAAAAAATTTATCTGTTATACTAGAATAGTATATTTGCTACTATAATTAGCGTTGCAACGTAGTGTTATATTTATGCACAAAGTGGTTAATTATCACCAAACTCGGACATGCATACTCACCTTTGAAGTATTCTGACCTATAGTCACTCCATTAAAGAAATATGGTAGACTACCAATTTGTTACAGAGTTGCTTTCTCTAGGCCATTTAAATACAGGCTATATCTGTCACTGAGCATGTTAGGTTTTGCAATGATACTCCAACAACGCTAAAAGCTATACTCTATACAAGTGATCTAGTTATATAACCGACCATCTTTATTTTAATTCAAACATTTGTATCATGGTAAAAAATAGAATAATTTTATATAGGTGCAAATAATTTTCTATATTGAGGAAGAGATTTAATTAACATTCTTCAAGTCGTAATCAAACAGATGATCATAATCAACAAACCCAGAAAAATGTTTAATTTTCTATTGCTTTCACAATATATATATATATATATATTGAACAACATTTGTGATTGGTAACACAATTTACATTCTATGGTCATTGTTCTGGTTACATTGCAGTTAGTGATATATTCTGTTTCTAGATAAATGTTGGCATCATCAATTGACGGTGGTTTTAAACAATTAAATTAAATTTACTAGCCATGAGTATTGTGGTCCAAAGATAGAGTTAAATTCTGTACAACTACATATTCCATCCCACTTAATCGTTAATGATTAATCAAGATCTCCAAGCAAGATTTTCACTAATACTATATGTAATGGGATTCCATATCAAATTAAATATGAAAAATGATAAGGGGGCCGAAGGGTAATTCCGAAAAAAATATGACGTGTCTCTAAAATTTCTCTAAAATTTATTATGTGTGAAGTAAAAGAGCCATCAAATGTTTAGCTCACCCCTAAAATATATTGAAAAAAATAAATAAATAAAAATTAAAAATTAAAAATAAAAATATTTGAGAAGGTAATGTAGCAATAAACACTGTGAAAATGACTGGAAGGATTTGGGTATATACAGATAGAAATATACATACACAATTACATTTATATGTTAGTAACAGATCATAAATATTCAAAGATTTTTTTCTATAAATTTCTCAATAGATTTAAATATTACTCAATGATCTGATTTTAAGAATTACATGATCATCTCGTATTCGAATCACGCACAAAAATTCGGGAGTATTCACAACATCACTATTTGATTCAGGATTGGCTCTTTCTTTCTATCTAGGGTTTTGAATAAGTTTTTTTCTCCAGCAACAGTTCAATGGTTACATTGATTTAATTTGATATATCTAGTCAATGTAAATTCTAAAATATATCAATTATGAAAAAAAATTCTAAAAGATACTACATAACAAGATAAAGATAAGTCAATTCCCTAAAAAATAAAAATAAAAAGGATAAAGATAAGTTTTCTCTAATTTTGGAGATTATTGAGCTTTCCGGTATTCCTTTTTCACGATCACCTTTCCACCTTTTTTTTTTTTTTCACCTGCACGTGATGGACTCTTTTGCTCCCTCACGCAAAAAAGGTGGTTCGGTGATTAATTCGGGGGATACCTTTCGGTTCCCCTATCACTACTCATTAAATATTATTGTTTCTTCTTCTTCTTTTTTTAATTGACAGGTATTAAAATAAAGTTTGTATATGCATGAAACATGAAGTCTTGTTCACAAAATTGATTTTAGATTAAGATTCTCTCTATATATACACACATATATATAAATATATAGATTAGAACTGAGCTCAATCTACATAAGATTCTTTTAAGGTTGGAGATGCTTTAGATATAATTATGGTTTGAAATTTATATATGGAAACAGTCAATGCACACTTTTTTTATAAACAAATTAAGAAATAATATCCTCTAAATAATTTGTACACTCCAATTACTTTCAGAACCTATAATTTATAGACAAAATTAGTACTATTTAAGATAAATATATATTTTATTAGTCACAAGTACTGTGTCTAAAAACTTTTATTGTAAGGAATATAGTAGTAGGTTCCTATCTTGCTTTTTCCTAAGCTTGAATATATTTTGAAGATCCAATGGAAAAAGAAATATATTTATTATACTAAGATTCTTTTAATTTTAGTAGATCACCCTAATTTGTTAGTAAAATCCATATATATATATATATATATATATATATATATATATATATATATATATATGTTTTACAAACTTTTGTTCATCATACAATTACAACAATATACAATTACAACAATATTGTATGATTTAGAGAAAGCCTATTTGACCTAATATGACTTGCTTTTTTGGTTGTCAAGAAATATGTCTCTCTAGGTGCTGCTTGTTTCCTTTTTTAATAAAATTAATTAATTATCAATATATATATATATATATATATATATATATATATATATATATATCAAAAAAAAGTTTTCCCGAATTATCGAATTATCTTTTCAAATTAATTTCATGTATACTTGTAGTGAGATCAAATTTACAAGATTATAGAATAAAATAAAACAGAAAAATAAAATAAAAGTACCAATAAAAACCTATATTAGCTAAGAACACAAAGTATATTACACGATCCCAACAAAATAATGTAGCATGTACTAATATTTTATTTTCAAGACAATGGTCCTCTTTACTACAACAAAGTAAAGGAAATAACTTAAAGAAGTAGTGCATGCAGCAATAAGTCATACATATGTCTTGTACCATAATATTGGAACACCATAAAATCTTATTACAATTTTTATGTTTCAAAGAGTGTTTTGTGTCTTTAATTAGTCTTTTACACCATAATATTGGTACGTTTATTGGTACGTTTATTTTACTTTGCTTTTTAATTTTATTCAATAATTTTGTAAATTTGGTCTCAATATAAATTATACATGAAATCACTTTGAAAGGATAATTCAGGAAACTTTCTTTGATATATATATAGATATCTATATATAGAGAGAGAGATAATTAAGCAATTTTATTAAAGAAACAAACAAACAACAACTAGAGGCATACTTGTCAACAACAAAAAAGCAAGCCAGATTACAAAAAGGGTATTTGGAACTTTAATAATAATTCTTAATGCATTTGTAGTTATTTTTTTGACATGAATGATGGTTGTATGACTATAATCAGAATGCCAGGACGAGAATTCTCAATTACTAGGCAAATTTTCTCACGGGGAAGGAGAACTTTTGCATGAGGCTTGGAAAAGATTGAATAACTTGCTAAGGAAATGTCCACACTATGGCATTCCAAAATGGCAAGTGGTTCAATATTTTTATGAAAGCTTATCCGACACTTATAAGGACATAGTTGACACATCACGTGGAGGTTCATATTTTGGAAAACATGAAGCACCTTTTTGAAAAAATGAGTGAAAATTCATTGCATAAACATCACACTTCTCGAGTGAGTCATGATTCTAATGAAAAGAAGAAAATTTTGAAAGTATGCCAAATTGAGAGTCCAATGGAGATTGTAACCGAGGTCAAAACTCTTTCTAAAAAACTTGATCAATTATTATTAAGTCAAAAATTGGTTATCAAATCATATCCTTTTCATTACTCTTATCACTCTTGTGAGCCTTGCACGACATGTTCTAGTGTTCTACATTCTACTTCCAATTATT